TCTCTCTCTCGCCCTCTCCCATTCTCCCCTTCTCCCTCCCTCCCGTTATCTGCGTCCGTCACGTCACGCGCTCGTCGTAAATTCTTATGTTATCCTGCCCCACCCCGCCTCACTATTTCTCTCCCCTCGCTCCCGCCGCGCCGCTCCGCTCCTTCCTCGGAATGGTTCGTTCCTTTGCTTCTGTATACATTGTGACTGCAGCAGTAAGGCGGCGGCGCGGCGTGGCCCGGCTCGGCGCGAAGCGATGCCGTGCGAAATGGTCCGGGTGATGTACGATTATTTATCGGGAGACAATGAAGATGATATCGCAGCTATGGATGGGGTTGTTTACTCGGAGTGCGATAGGCACGGCCCTAGAGGCTCGCCGGGGTCAAGGTGCGCGCCGCCCGTAATGACGATGGTGATCGGCTCGCAGTGATCGGCCGGCAGTGATCGGCCCGGCTGGTCGGCCCGGATCGGCCCCCACTGGAACCTCTATCTCCCTCTCTCTCTGATGATGGGCCGCCCACATTTTAACAGTCGAATAAACAAGCCGCGAGGTAATATCAAATCAAACAGTGAGCCGAGTTTACGAGACGGCCCCGGCCGATCAGGCCCAGCACGTCACGTCACAAAACGTACGAGTCTCGTGTTCCAGCCGGGGGAGCTGAGCCGAGCGGCTCTGCAATTAGATTGTGTGAATGATGGAAATTCGACGACCAAGACGACGAGGCGTCGTCGTCGCTGAGAGGAGGGCCGACCTTTCGGCCCCGTCGTGCGCGCAGTCGTCTTTTGTGATATCCCCCCCCCCCTCTCCTCCCCCAATTGATTAACAGTCCCTGCTCCTAACAAGCGACGGAATCGAAATAAATTCTCTGTTGGTCTCGGCGGGCGGGGCGGGCAGGTCGGGCAGGAGAGGGAAGACCGGCAGATGTCAGAGCGGGGCTCGTCTGCTCGGCTCGGCCACCCGACCCCGCTCGGCTCTCGGCTCGACCGGCCGGCTTAGCTCCGGTACATCCATTACCGGACTTTACGATGATCGTATTTTTAATATATCGGCCTTCCGATGCGCGTCTGTGTGCCTTCGGTGCCGCCCGGCCGGCCGGAGGGGCGAGGGGCGGCGGCAGGGGCGCCCCGCTGTACTGCAGAGCGAGGAGTGGCCGACATGCCGAGCGGCCGGACGGCGCAGCGGGCGCAGCGGGTCAGCCATACCGCGAGAGCGTCATACCGCGTCAAGCAAGAGTCGGCCTCCGGTAAGCGCTCTCTCGCTCGACTTGGTCTCTTTTTCTTTTACGCTCTCTCTCTCTCTCTCTCCCTCCCGCAGCCGCTTCGACCAGTTTAGCGAGTCGATACGCGGTCGGGAGGGTTACGTTAGGCCCTTGAGACGGGCGGGTCGGTGGCGGCGCCGGTGACCTCGGGGCCCTAAATCTGTCTCGTCATCCCGGTCTGAATTAACCACCCTCATTTGTTTGCCCGTTTTATTGTCTGGGGCGGCGTAGCGCCATGCCCCGTGGGGGTAGGGGGGGGGAGAAGATTGATGGCAAGGCGATCGCGGCCCGGTAATTGAAATCGTAAAATACTGCAACGTGTGTTATGTGTCTCAGATATGAGAGGTTAGGTTGTTGAGCGGAGGGAGGCGAAGGGGCGGCAGTGCGGGCTGGGTGCGCGCCGCGCCCGGGGTGCTCAGGGCCAGGGCCAGGCCCAGCTCCTAGAGGCCCTCCCGCTCTCGCGATGTGCGGCCGCGGTAAGTGGGAGCGACAGAGACAGATGGCCGGTCACGCGGCGCGAGAGAGGGAGCGAGCGAAAGAAAACAACAGGCGGGGGTCGCGCGCCCGCAAGACAAGTCTCGGAGGGGCGGTCGGGCGGGGGCGTCACCACGCCCTAATCACATTACGACTTTTAATTATATTTCTCGCTTTCATCGAGGAGTGAGAAAGGGAATCGGGAAGTGGCGCGCGGGGGTCCGAAGAGGCGCGCCCGGGCCGCGGTGACCTGGCGGTGACAGAAATCTCAGAGAACAAGGGGAAGCGGGCGGGAGCCGGGGAGGAGGGATCGCGCTCTGCGACGTTGACGGATCCACGGCTAATGACGCGGCTAAATCTCGAAATCACAAGTGCACTTATTAGCTCCGCGGGAAGGAGCGAGAAAGAAAAAGCGGCAGAAGAAGGAAAAAAAGCGCGATTAACGGACCTGGATAAATTAGTTTTAATGAGGAGAGGAGGACCGGCTTGTCAGTCGCTCTGATTCATCTTTAATTGATGTTGGTTTTTATCTCGGACTCGTCACCGCCCGTGTGCTGACGCTTCGCGCGCTCGCCCGGTCAAGGGGCGACAGCCGAGGGAGGGCTTTAGGGAAAGGGACAAAAAAGGAGGGATTAAAAAGTGGAAGTTAGAAAGGAATAAGAAAGCGCGCGGTCTTGCTTCCAAACGATTTGGTGGCGCTAAATAGCTTTCTTTTTCGTCGCCTCGGCCGCTGTGTGTTGCGTGTTTTCTTCGCCTTACTTTCGGCCTCTGGCTCGAAATTAGAGCAGACATAACCATCAGGACCCCCCACGTCCAGTGCAATCTCGACCCGGGCGGCCCGGTGCAGGTGCGAGGTGACAGGTAGAGTGGGGAGGGGGCGGTAAAAGGACGATCCTCAATAAAAGAAGCGCGGGAAGGGAAAAAGGGCAAGCGCCGGGAGGTTAGGTGCGAAGAGGAAAGGAAGTGCCGGCGGTTGTAGGAAAAGGAGGTGGAGGTTGGCGGCGCTGATTTATTGAAGAATGTTTTGGTTTACGGACAGCACCAGCAGTGCGAGGCTGCGAGGCGAGGGAAGAGGGAAAAGGGAGGTTGTGTTTCCTGATGTCCCCTCTTGACGGGCCGGCACCCCAAGACATACATCCTGTCCCCCAGGAGGGCCGTTGCCACCAGGTTGCCACCCCCTTGCACTCCCGCGCGCGCACCTTGGTAGTAGTACCACCCCCTCGTGCGCGCGCGGCGGGTGAGGGGCGAGGGAACGACCTAGACTTGACTCGCAGCCTCCATCTGCCTGTGACCTAGCGGGCGCCGTCCTGCCCTTCTGGGGGTCCAAAGAAAACGACAAGCGCAGTTGGGCCGCGCTGTTATATAGTTCGTTTTTGTTCAACTGCCTCTGACGCTCGCTCTGACTGCCCCCCCCCCCCATCCACTCTCCTTGTCCGAAACCCTTTCTCGCTTCTTTACTCTTTTCCTTCTTTGCCGCTTGTTTTGACAAGGCACGGGCGGCAAATTTTAAATCCCAATTACCAAATGCAAGGAAGCCTCGCCGGTTGGCCAACCTGCACGTGACTTAATCTCCCTCCGGAGGTGGACTGGCGGTCCGATTGTTGGTATGAGTCGGGCGGCAACGGGACTGATAAGACAGCAGTAGCTTTGCCCACCCCCGCCCCTCCCCCTCCACCCCTCAGCTCGATCCCGCGCCAGTTCTAATTAAAATTAACCCCTGCAAAGTTTGTACTAATTGCAGGGTTTGGTGGCCCATCAAACAATGGCGGCATCGCCAACTGTTTTTCCCCGTCTCTCTCTCTCTCTTCCGTTCCCTTTCGCGCTCCCTCTCTCGCTCTATCTATCTCGCTCTCTCGCTCGCCGTGTTAAATGTTGCTGTTGCCGCCCCCTCTCACTCTCCCTTTCTCTCTCGCTTTATCGCAGTCATTCATTCTGCTCATCACCACACTTTGCGCTCCTTCCATCGCGTCTGCCGGCGAAATCGAGCGATTCTTGCTGCCGGCTCCGTTTTTGCATGAACGCGTACTTGGCCGACTGAGGGAACCTTGTCATCCAGGAAATGAGGAGCGAACATCGACAGTATAAAAACGACTAACGGACGACCTCTGTCCCTGTCACCGCCCCTGCCGCCCCTGCGTTTTCCGCTCCGCCACCCTTGTTCCTTTCAACCCCTCGCCTAGTTCTAAAGTGATGGCGTTTGTTTCACACTGCGCCGACAGAACTAATTTGCTTTTGGCGCGCCGATGCGACGACGGCGCCCGGCCCTTCTTCTAGGCGGCGCGCGGGGCAGCCCGAGTAGAGATCTCACTCCACACTTTACAGTGTCTCTAACTGTCTCTTTTTCCTGTTGCAGGGGAAGGCGGTGAAGGCGGAGAGGAAGGCGCTCCCCCAGACGGGCCGGAGCGCGAGGACGGCGACGAGGAGGAGTCGGCCGAGTCGTCTGTCGGCTCGCCGAGGCCGGCGGCCAACGCGCCCCTGCCGGACGAGGAGGCCCCCGCCGAGCACGGCGACATGCACATCGCCACGTCGCCAGGGTGCTCGCCACCCCCGCACCCCATGATCGCCGCGGACAACACGAGACCCGCCAGCCTGCCCGCCGGCCGGGAGGACCGCGATGAGAGGTGAGCACCCCGAACAGTCGTAAGGGACGGTAGGGGAGGGTGGGAGCGCAGATAGACCAGCATGTCCCACGTCATTGTTCTATTTCTCAAGTAGCGCGGCCACCGCCCCCTCCGGCAATAACCGTCTGAGGGCGTGGCGGGGCGGGGTGGGGCGCCGCCGCGGCGGTACGGGTTTTGCGCGCCCGTCCCCTCGTAGGAACTCCGGGCGGGCCATGTATCTTGCTGCCCGTCTGCGGGTGTCTGTCCAAGTCCGTCGGCCTGTGTCTCCTCGCAGGGCCCGGCTCTGTTTGCGTATGTTGATTTACGGTAATGGCGGACTCTTCGCGCTAAATACTTCTCTAGGAGCGGCCCCCCGACAGGCTCCGGCCAGTGCAGGCCCCGCAAGGATCCGGCCCTGGGAGGGTGGAGATGGGCACAGGCCATTCCCTCTAACGCGCGCAGTGGCGTGGCCGCAGGCCCCTCCGCGAGATGGACAAAAAGCGTTAACAATTCTTGTTGACAACGAAACGAACCCACTCCACCTGAAATGGTTGTTTCTAACGCACATTCTAAATCCGATTTTCGCCTGTTGTTGCAGAGAGTCGCCCAGCCGCTGCCCGTCCAGGGACTCGCGGGCGTCCGTCGGCTCGGCCCGGTGCCCGTCGAGGGAGTCGGACCTGCCGCCGGGCGTGGACGCCATCGCCGCCGCCCTGCCCACCACTCTGCAGGCGCACTCCGCCGTGGCGGCGCTGCTGGGCGTGTCCCCGCACCGGCTCATGTCCTCCATGGCCGCGCGGGGCCCCATCTCCCCGCACGTGTCGTCATCGTCGTCCCCGCCCAACCACCCGCTGAGCTCGCCGCCCTCGTCGCCCAACGACCAGGACGGCTCTGCCCTGGACTTCAGCAAGAAGTCGACCTCCTCCAAGCGGGACCGCGACCGAGACGTCATGGACCCCGACGCGCTCAACCTGAGCAAGCCCGAGACCCCCGAGCCTGATGGCGGCGCTCCCCTCGACCTGTCCTGCTCCAGCCGCAAGCGCAGCCACGACGACACCCCGTCGCCGATGCTGTCGCCGAGGCCGCCGTCCAAGTCGGCGCGCGTGTCCAACGACTTCAAGAACGTGGTCTCGCCGTGGACGTCGCCCGTCGTGGCCTCGCACTTCCCGTACTTCGCCGCGGCGGTGGCGGCCGCCTCGGGGATGTCGCCCAAGAACAGCAGCCCCAACGCGGCGACCGCGGCGGCGGCGGCCATGATGGACCCGTCCCTCTGGAACGGGAAGCTCAAGGGCGGCCCGCCCTCGGACGCCACCAAGGCCCTGGAGAAGATGAGCGAGCTGTCCAAGCTGGGCAGCGACGAGATGTTCCGGCCGCTCATGGGCGGGCCTGGCGCGGGCGGAGCCACCGGGAGGCACAGCGCGTGGCAGAGCCACTGGCTCAACAAGGGTGCCGACACCGCCAAGGACGTGCTCAAGTGCGTCTGGTGCAAGCAGAGCTTCCCGTCGCTCGCCGCGCTCACCACGCACATGAAGGAGGCCAAGCACTGCGGCGTCAATGTGCCGGTGCCGCCCATCCAGCCGCCGCCACCTCCACCGCCGTCAGGCCGCGAGCGGGAGCGAGAACGGGAGCGGGAGCGGGCGCAGGAGCGCGAGCGGGAACGAGAGCGGGAGAGGGAGCGAGAGCGGGAGCGGGACTATCCACCAACCACACCCTCTCCCAACCACCCGGGCAAGTCGCCGTCCGACCTCAACATGCTCATCAAGGAGACCATGCCGCTGCCCCGCAAGCTGGTGCGCGGCCAGGACGTCTGGCTGGGCAAGGGCGCGGAGCAGACCCGCCAGATCCTCAAGTGCATGTGGTGCGGGCAGTCCTTCCGCTCGCTCGCCGAAATGACCCAGCACATGCAGCAGACGCAGCACTACACCAACATCATCTCGCAGGAGCAGATCATCTCCTGGAAGACGAGCGACGGCGAGAAGCCCCCCAGTCAGTCGGCGCCCAGCGGCTCTCAGGGGCCGCCAGGCGGGCCGAGCGCCGCGCCACCACCCAACAACGCGGGCGCCAGTAGTCACGTGAGCGCCGTCCTCACCTGCAAGGTGTGCGACCAGGCGTTCAGCTCACTCAAGGATCTCAGCAACCACATGGTGAAGAACCAGCACTACAAGGAGCACATCATGCGCTCCATCACCGAGTCAGGCGGCCGGCGGCGGCAGACGAGGGAGAAGAGGAAAAAGTCGCTCCCCGTCCGCAAGCTGCTGGAGCTGGAGCGGGCCCAGAACGAGCTGAAGAACGGCGAGGCGGGGCTCATGGGCGTCAAACTGCCGCGCGACCTGGGCCGCGACCTGGGGCTCACCACCAAGATCTCGTGCGAGAAGTGCGGCGACAAGATCGAGACGGCCGTGTTCGTGGACCACGTGCGGCTGTGCGTCGGCGGAGGCCTCATCACCCCCGACCAGCGCAACCTCCTGAAGAACGCGCTGCTCTCGCAGAGTGTGCTCTCGCCCGAGAGCCCCACCCACCCCAGCATGAGGGACTCCAGGGACTCGCGGAAGAGCAAGGACGAGCGGCCGCAGCTGTCACCCACGTCGGACACCCCCGGCAGCCCCAAGGACGCCCCTGCCAAGACCGAGGGCGCCAAGAGCGACTCGCCGTCCGTGCTGTGCGCCATCGAGAAGCTTATCGAGAAGAGCTTCGACTCTCGGGTGAGGCACGGCGCCAACTTCCCGGGGCCCGGCGCGCCCGGCGCTGCCATGGGCTCCAGCATCCTCAAGAGGCTGGGCATCGACGAGACGGTGGACTACACCAAGCCGCTGGTGGACCCGCAGACCATGAACCTCCTGCGCACCTACCACCAGCAGCAGCAGCAGATGTACCACCGGCGGGAGCGCAGCGGCAGCGAGTCGTCCTCCATGTCGGAGCGGGGCGGCGGCAGCGCGGGCCGGCCGGAGGCGCTCACCCCCGACCGGAAGTCAGACCAGCACACGCCACGCACCACCCCCGACAAGCGGATGTCGCCGCCCGCCTCTAAGGGCGAGTCTGATGACGAGGACCACCTGCCCATCAAGCGGGAGAGGAGAGACCACGACGATGACGACGACCACCATGACGTCAACGAGAGGCTAAGGGCGCCTGCGTCGGTCGACGGCATCAAGCGGGAGAAGGACGACTTGGAGGACGAGGACCGCGTGAGCGTGGCCAGTAGGTCGCACAAGACGCCGGACCGGGACCTGGACGACCACCACTCGGAGGGGCGGCGGAGCGTGGGGGCCGAGAGTCGGGGGCGGAGCAGCGTGGGGCCGCCCAGCCCCGCGCCCACGCACAGCCCCCGGCACACGCCGCTGCCCGCCGCCAGCCCCGCCTCCAGCGAGCGCTCCACCCCGCGCAGCTCCTCGGACCGCAAGTCGTCGCTGGGCGCGCTCTCCTCCATGTTCGACAGCCTGTCGGGCTCCGGGGCCACGGAGGGCGGCGCGGGCGGCGGCAAGGCGAGCAGCCACCCGCTGGCCGCCCTGCAGAAGCTGTGCGACAAGACTGAGACCCACCGGCACGCGCGCGGCAACGCCAACAACAACAATAATAACAACAATAACAACAACTCGAGCGCCGCGGCCAGCGCGGTGTCCGCACCGCCCGCCACCACCCCCGGGGCCATCCTCGCCTTCAGCTGGGCCTGCAACGACGCCATCATGACGGAGAACTCGGTCATGAAGTGCGCCTTTTGTGACACGCCCTTCATCTCAAAGGGCGCCTACCGCCACCACCTGTCCAAGATGCACTTCGTCAAGGACGGCGCCATCCCTGACCCCGTCACCATCAAGGCGCACCAGGCCGCGGCAGCCGCGGCGGCTGCGGCGCAACCCCCAACCCCTGGCGCCTCCTCGTCGGGCTCCTCCAAAACGTCCAACGGGTCGTCTGCCAACCCGGGCGCAAACTCGCCCGGGAAGTCACCCCAGGCACCTCCCGCCTTCGAAGAGAGTCCGCATTCCAAGTTCCTCAAGTACACAGAGCTGGCTAAGCAACTGAGTAGTAAATATGTGTGAACTGTGAAAAGCGTGTAGTGTGGACTCCTTCAGTGGCGCCCTTACTAATACCAGTGAGCTCGGTTACCTTATTGTATAAATTAAAATTTAAACCGCGTTGTTAGGAATGAATCTTCTTTCAAGTATCTTTAGAAGCATAGGTATGTGAAGTGACTTCTACAATCATTCCTTTATGATCGTCTATGCTGGGATCCACTTTCCTTTAAAGCACATTTATCTTGCCATTTATTGTAAATGTGTCCATTTGTGAGTTGATATGTTGACTATTTCTTATATATTGAAGTGCAATTTAGCCTGATGGTGATGTTATTTGCCCACAGTAAGGGCTTCCTACCATATCCCAGTGTAAACCAGTGATGGTGTTACCTTTTAGAAAATGCGCGTATACGGAAATTAGATTTGTGAATCGTTATCTCATGTTTGGTAGTAGACAGTGGGATTTTTTACCAAATAAATCTCGGTGCCCTAATCCCCATCCCCTCATCAATGTGATACGTGAACTATGTTCACAAATGACCCTATCCTATAATATGTATACCAACTTAAATATTTAATTATAAGATGAGATTGAGCTGAGAGTGATCAAGGCAGACCCAACAAACAAAAGGTATACTAGCATGTATAAAATACACGAATGAAAAATCTTTTCTATTTGCTCATGTAGAAAATTATGAGGCCTGCAGTCCCTCTCTTCTGCTATTTGATATATAATATTTACATATATACATATATGTTTTCACAGGATATTTTCCGATCCTCTGCTCCTTTAAAATAAGTATTATCAAGTACCTACAAACAATCGTATACGTATCTGCTACAAAATTGAAAAAAACTATTTCTATCTTCTTTATTTTGGACGTTTTAAATTCAAAAAATACATCATATATTATGACGTCCTTAGGACATTGATGACTATTATAACTCTTATGTATACGCTCTAGATCAAATAATCGAAACTTCAAGACTCCTTGGAACAAAGAGAAGTGTTACAAAGTGTTTTGCTGGTATTCTTTTGGCTGTCTTTCGTTTTAGAATCATATACTTTGAATTGTATAATACATGCCAAACTATTTGTACAGAGAAGGTTGCCAGCTCAAAGATTTGTAGCCATGCAATTTTAACTAGCACTATGTGCTTAGTCATGAAATCTTTTGTTTTATTTATTTAAATGGCCTGATCTCATAAGGTTAAAAGCAGAAATTTGTATTGTTGCCAACTATACTGATGCTTTTGTGTTTTGTGAAAATAGTACAAATTTGAAATAAGTGAGTGAAGGAGGTTTGAGAACTCCGTGACACAAATCTTTTTTTTGCGTTGTTGAACCATTCAGCATGTGATAAACCTTTTTCTCCCATTCAGTATGTATACTAAAATCAATTGATTTGACTTGCCGTTCCAGGGTGTGCAAAAACAGAATTTGTGTCCGTGTAGTTAACCAACCTTCTCATTTAACTTTTGTATTAATTGTAGTCTTACTGGAAACTTGCAATTCCGTTGATTTTTTTTTACCAGTATTTTTTTTACGTTTTGTTGTTTTTGTATAACCATTACGCAAAGGCAAATGTCACTGTTATGATTTGACCAGTAAGGAGTATTCATTAACCTGCTACCTTACAGAGATCTGCACGGTTAAAACCAGTCATGAGTTAAGCTTAATTTATTTTCTATATAGTTTGTTTAGCAGAGATCGTGAATAATTTATATTTTCCGGGTCTTTTGAAGAAAGAGTTGTTATAACTGTTAATTGTCACTATTCTTGTTTTAAATTATTAATTAATTTAATGTCGGCCACGTATCGTCTCTTTGAAATGATTACTGTGATTTCTGTATACATTAAACGCCTCTTCAATCTCGAAAGGAACGTGTTTAGTATTAGTCAAGTAAGCAATAAATTTGTTGGATCTGTAATGAACACTGTGTTTACCATTATGTCCCTATCCCTCACAACACTGCTATCAACTACCATGATAAGAACGCAAATGCATTTGAACAAAGGATGGTACATTAAAGAAATCAGATGTACAGAAGTACATTTCTTATACACTTATAAGCGACTTCTGTGAGAGTCTACAGTTAAAAATCAAACTGAGAAAGAAACACCTACTCTACCTGCTCTAAACCTACCCGCATTCAGCACGGGCCAGCGAGTTGAAGATCGAGAAGGCAATTGCAGTAGTAGGGCAGGGGCCATGCGAAAAGCGGTGTACGGGTAAGTAAAGATTGATAGAAAGATTGTTTATTGTTTCAAGAATCATTACACAAATAACAGAGCAAATAACGCTAACCAAAAAGTAGCCCACAGCCACAGGGCTCAGAAAGAGACAGCTCCCTCGACCAAGCCTCAAAGCCCTCAGCTTTTTTAGTACTGCTCAAGTAGCTACAACAAAAAGGGGGGGGGGGTACTGCCCTAACGTACCGAGGGCGCAGAGGTGACGCGACCTGCCCAAACGCCGCCGTAAGTCGCCACATCAAGCACTCAAGGAGAGCAAAGAAAGGGGGGGGGGGGACTTGTCCTTCTGGTAGAGACAGTCTTGGGGACTGTCTAAAAAGCTCCGTTGGGTCTCTATTTGTTGTTTGGCGCACCCTGGCCCTTTAAATAACTTCAAGGAATTTGGAAAAGACATTCTGCCACACTAGACTCCGTACCGTCTGCCGAGCAAACTGAAACCACCCCGAGGCTCGCGCACGCAGAGATGAGCGTCTCCCACGTTACTGACGACCGGTCAGCTCTCTGCGCGCTGGCCCGTCAGTCGAGGCGGACGCTGGGTTGGGGCGCGTGTCGGCTTGGAAGCTGAAAGAGACCGGAGCCGCCCCACGACGCACGGCGGAACCGGACGCATGGCCAGTACTCGGTGGCGTGGTTGGTCTGATTTTATTTTGCCGAAGGATAATGCCCTCAACGACTCATCTTTCAAACTTTGCAGGGGGGCCTTTTCAGTCTTTCTGGCAAAGATGCCAGTAGAAGTACGAAAATACAGAACCTATATGGGAAATGGAAACAAAATAAGCAAGACAGGACCGCGGAAACATACGAAACCCGCATGGAAAATAGAAAATCCATGAGAAAAAAGTCATAATTCAGACGTAAACACGTGGAAATGTGTGAATAAATTTTAAAGTCCGGATAAATTTATGTAGAAAACGCAACCTAGACGTGGATTTCCAGATGGGTTTTGTCTTGAAGCCGACTGGACAGACTTCCTTCGGCTGGGGACGTATCGTATGCTATTACGACACCACAGGACGGGGTAGCGGCCTCCCGATTCCGCTCCCTTAAAGAATGGAACGAGTGCGCTACGAGTGCGATGCGAGCGCGAGCTGGGAGCACGTCGGGTGCAGATCAAGTGCAAGGCGAGTGCGCCGCTCGCATCGAGGAGTGTGACGAACGGCTACGGCACCTCACGACTTGACGCGGTAAAAATAGTTTCTTGTATTACAAGACCTGGTCTTGGATGCCATTGGCGTTCTCCATGAGATTCCAAAACCAGGTCTTGCAATACAGGAAACCCTTTTCACCGTGCGACCCTTCGTAACAAATTATAGTGTACTTCGACTAACGGGGAAAGAAGAATAGCGGGTAAAACATTAACGTTACCGATTGGTCGAGAGCTGCCCGCCTCTACGTCACGCCGATAGCGGGGGTAAGCGCTCGGCCAATCAGGAACCTTTACGTTCTACCCTCTATTCTTCTTCGTCCGTTAGTCGAAATATCACTAGAGAGTCTGGCCAAAATTAATGTATTTGAACAGCAGAGTCCTGCGCAGTTTCACGAGTTTCCGTTGAGAAGGAACCAAAAAGATATGTGGACTCTGGTTTACGTACGTACCGCGTGATTCAGAGAAGACGAAGGTGCGGCGGGTTTGCCTACCCGGTCTGCCCGTATGGCCCGCTATGGCCCCTTGGGTAGGCAAACCCGCTCGCACCTGCGTCTTCTCTGATTCACCCGGAACGTAAATTTGGGGGGGAGGGTATGTTCTTGGAACCGATGAAAAGATCACAACGTTCTCAGGTTCCACTTGATAAAAGAAAACGAAAACATTTTAAAGTTATTCCCCCCCCC